TTATTCGTTGTCTTTGTCTATACTTTGTCTTGGCGCTGATTCCCTAATTTTTATCCTATCTAAAATATATAAAAATATATGTAAAATATATTACGACATATATATGTATTATAATATATGATATGTATGTGTTATAATATATAATATGTTTATGATAGTAATATACATCCGTGTATTAAAAATTACACGGAATTAAATTCATTTTCAGTGAGATTCCTTTCATTTATGTATGGATACATATAAAGTAAAGATACAAGCATATAGTTAAAGTATCATGTATATATATATATATATTATTTTTTTTTTTTTTTGCTCAAATACAATCAATGACATTCAATGATGCTAAAAAAAATAAAACGGAAACAACATATGTAAATTAATGCACTGATCGTATAAAATATATTTCAACATCCTGGCATTTGAAAAAACTTTGTATATGGAATTGAAGGCAAATGACATCATGTCATTCTGATACTATTACGCATTCTTTTTTTTAAACAAATTTGATTAGTTACACGTTTATTCCTCTCTGGAAATAATATGAATACTGAAAATATCATGGTTCAAAAAACTATTCTAAGCAGCTTGAACCACTTTACTCTGTGGACCTTTTTGCGTAGAACTAATTTTATCGCCTAATGACAATGCCATGCCTTGACTTTTCGCCCTGATACGAATATGACCAACTACAGGAGCATCAGGTTTATTCAATGGTTTTTCGATGGACATATTCGCCAATGCATCCTCACCAAATATCGATTTTGCATACATATTTGCAGCCATGAAACCACATTGCCCGGAAAGCGCCTGAAAAAAAATTTGATTTTATCCAATAATTTATTTAACACTGAAATCATTTTTTTAGGAAAAATCAATTTAAAGTACAATACCTTTTCTGGAGTTAGACAACGCATATTTGTAGATTTTAATAAATGAGCGAGATATTCTCTCAAGTCTGATAATGTTGTATTTACAGACACTTTATTTTCCCATTCAAATTCTGCCCACATTTGTCTGAATTCTAGATCAGTGCACGTTGCTGGTACTATGTAATCCATAATATCGATATGTATATCGTTTAAAACTACTACACTTCTATCAGATCCCGCACCAGATACATCATATACTAAAAATTAATTCATAAAATTTTTATTTTATTTAAAGATATGTCATTAAATAATTACCTATGTTCCCAAATATTATGCCATTTTCTGTGGATGCTACTTTTACGTTTGCCTTAATGCTTGCAAAATCTCGAGGAGCAAGTACAATAGGCTGTGGTCTTTCTACGAGTTTTAAATCACCCATTGTTGCAAGCTCTAAAGTACAATTTTGCAAAGTATCTTCGGTTTGATTAACAATTAGTACATCAAGTACAATATCGTATTGGTTGACATGAACAAGAGCTTCTGCATAAACAGGATCTGAGAAACCAGTTAATTGAGTAACTTTGCTCAAAGCACTGGGAGCTGGTGCATCTCCACTAGCACCGGGTCTTCCAGCGACAGCAGCACTTAAACTTTGCTCGAATACATCACCAGCTCCACCCGTTAGGTCTGAACCACGGCTTAATTGTAAGAATTGTATAGGATCGTCTACTTGAACGACACTACCTGGCTTCTCTTTTGCCTATAAATAAAAAATTAGAAATTAATAGTCCATAAACATTATAAAGAATTGATTTGATTTAAAGGACAACCTTTTGGTTTTGTGAATCTTCTTCAGCTTTTGCTGCCAACATTCTACCAAGAGCATCACGGCAACCTTCTGTGAAAACTTTCTGTACAAGAGGTGTTGGACAAGCCAAGGATCTTAAACATAACGATAAACGTTCTGCATCATCGTGTGTAATTGCTTTAGTAGGAAGGCCCGAACGACCCAACTGCATCACACTAGACATTATTAACATTGCTTCAGCTTGCATATGATTGCTCTTCTGTAGATCAGTTTCGAGACTTTTATACCGAAGCGCCAACTTGGCTAAAGTTGTTGCTAAAGAGGCACCTATGAAGAAATCACCTTCCATCATATATTGAACCAGTGCAGGACGTTTCTCTTCTTTTTTACCTATAAATTACATTTAAAAAAAATATAATATAAAGTATCTTTAATAAAATGAAATTTATAATCAAATAATGTCAATAAAAAATAAAAGATATTTACGTGCAGATGTTGCACTGAATGCACTTTGAGTAGCATATGTACCGTCTGATGTGACTAATTGTGCTGGTGTAATTTGAGCATTTCCATCATCTAATTTCTCACCAGCTTGACGTTTATTCTCCGCTTCTAATAATGGTAATTCTCCCAATGCAGCTCGAATGCGACTCATTACAGCTTCGATATCTTCCTTTGTAGTTGCGTATTCACCGAGAATCCACAATGCTGCTCTGTGTACCCTTACCGATCTTATATGTGGAAATACCTATAAAATTAGATCAATTATTTTAGAATATGGAAATGAAGATTAATTTGTTAATTTTAATTTTTTTGATATGTACTTCAAGAAGTTTTTCAACAATAAGTGGTCTCAGATTTTCAAACCGCTGAATAGCTTCACGAACAAACACTAGAACATCAGTAGCTGCAGCTTCGTTATTTTCTGACAAGAAATCTGTTAATACTGGAATTACTGTAGCTGCTACATCTGAGAACTTGATAGAACAAGCATGTAGCGTTCGAACAAGAAGTTGTCGATATCGGCCAGCATCTTCATGTTCTCCACCAGCCGTTCTAAGCACTTCTTTTTTCAGTAACTGAACCATTTCATCGATAGTACGAGTCGTTACTAAATCCATCGCTAGAGCTAATGTTTTTGTTCTAACTTCCAATGCTGGAGAGCCTAAAATAAGGATCAAAATCTTAAGTGATATTTTATATTATTATATTATATTATTATTTTTGTTATTTTTAAAAATCTACCTAGAACTCTAAGTACATCCATTACTAGATCTTGGAGGACTCTTTCATAAACAGGACTATCTTTCATTGCAATTAAGCGATCCAAAACAATCAATTTAACATTATTATCACTTTCTTTAACAACTAGTTCGATGTAGCAAGAAGCTGCAGCCTTAATCGCTGTAGGAGCATTGGAAAGTGTAACCAAAGTACCAGCTGCTTCATAGCGTACTGCAGCACTTGGCGAGTTTAACAAACTATAAATGCATCTGATAAAACGGGCTCTTTCGGATGGATTTGCAAGGCAAACCTATAAAAGTACAAGTTTATTAATATTTAAAATAAAAAAAAAATAATAAACAACTTTTATAAAAAAATATTACTTTGTAAATTAATTCAACAATAACCAATTGCAATATATCACCAAAATTGGGTACTTGATCCAAACAAGCTGCTAAATAAGCCAATGCTCTGCTCTGATCAGCATGTAATAGCATTAAAAATGCATTTCTCCTGCAAGACATATCTTGTTCTCCTTCCAAATATTTTGCAATTAATTCTGGAGCATCTGGTATAAGAAATTCAAAATTTCTATAAATTGTAAAAATAGCTAAAACTGCATTTCGTCTAACATAAGAATGTCTGTGCTCCAAGCATGCAATTATGGCAGGCATTAAAGGTTCCAAAAGTTCTGGTTCTTTTAGTTTACACAAAAATCTGGAATATATAAATATATTTTTAAATATCAAAATTTTCAACATTAGAATAAAATATCCATTATATTAATACCTTAAAGTAGAACCTCTAACAAATTCATTTGGATGTTGTAAATCTTTTCTATAAGCGTCACAAACTAAAATCATTTCCTGAAGTAATTTGCCATCAGGAGAAGTTTTAGGAACAATCTCCCAGAATATCAAAAGTAATTTCTTTATAGTGTGATCTTGCAATGGTAGTACAAATCTAATAATAGTCATTAGAAGTCCAGGTAAGCGTTCTCCGCTCAAGATTGTATGAATGGTTTTTTTAAGAGCTTCAATTTTTGTATGAACATCGCCTTTTTCAAGATCTTGTTTTAATTGCAATTCATTTAATGGCTCCGTATCGGTTGGAACATTTATCAAGGTATAACAAGGTTGTTCGGCTATAGTACTCATTTTTTCGATTGTTTCACACTTTGTTGAAAAACTTCTTTTTATCACCTGCAAATTAAAAGTCATCATTCTATACTTTCCAAATAAATGATTAAAATTCATTATGTGATATAAGTAATACGAAAAATAGAGCAAAAGTGAGGTTAGGTTATACGTTTACCTTATCATATTGGACATGAAGTAATATACTATATTGCTCGAATTTGACATACCTGAGTAGTCACAAGTGAATTGTGCAATAACAAAAGGCAACAATATATTTCAATTGATTAATTGACATTTATATAAATCCGGAAACAAGAAAAACAGCATACGTGTCAAACCCCAATATAGGGGACTACTGAAATTAGGAATAGATAGCGCTACGATCCACTTCTTCCAAGTAAAATACGCATTTTTGAATTTATGATATTCTTTTTCTTTAAAATATTATTTATACATTATTTCTTTATAAATATAAGTTTTTTTATAGTTTTTTCTTTTTATATTCTATCATACTTCGATTTTAAAAGAATCAACATTTACATTTTAATATAAATTACAGAAAGGATCTTTGTTAACATTAAATTTTGCATTCTTGTAAAAGAATGTTCAAAAAATTATTTATATATAATTCTCTAATTATATATTTTAAATTAATCGAGCAAAGTTAAATTAATTTTTATTAATTCTTTAATTTTTCTCCAAAGACTCATAACAAGCTTCAAACTTAAATTATATAATGGAAAACAATTAATAATTATCGTTTATTTGAAGAGCACGTATTCATATACGTTAGATTCGCATAAAGATTTATAAATAATTTATAATTTAAATATATATTTCGTAAATTATTTCAAAATTTCAAAAAAAAAACAAATAAACAAAACAGATATTTACCAAATAAAAGCCGTAACTTAATGGCGCAATATATTGTTACTAAATATTATTAATTTATTTCCTTCAGAGATAAATCATCCCGATTAGAGAACCGCCTCAAGTGGAGTACTACTGACCTAGAAAACAAACTGAACTAAATAGATTGCAACTGCGTTCGAAGAAGCGATTAATTCATTCGCAAATTTCACCACCAATAAATTACTTATGATAAAAATATATTAAAGTGATTTAACTGATTAAGAAAAAATAAAACAATAATTTTGACAATTTAAGTTTATCAGAGGAATAAGAATCGTGTTGTTTCATAATTTTAAAATAATTTTAATATAGATAGAACAAATTAAAGAAATTGCATAATTGCACTATCAGTTATGAATATATTAATATATTTCGAAGCAATTGGCTTTTTAAATAATCGCGAATTTTTTTATCAATACACAGAATGATTTTTTTAAATTACTGATAAACTTTTGTCGGTCAGATTTCTATGATTGACAGGCGTATTTTTCTCTTTGGACAGTAAACAGCAATGTGAAATTAATTATTGAACATATCTTATAAGTAACTTCATCTTACATTCGATGTTGTACAAATTTTTATCCTTTTTATCTCATTTTTTAATTCATTGATGAAAACATTATTATAAATTTAAAAAAGGTACATTTTTACTTTCTATTTCTTTCTTACGATAGATTTCAAGGTAATCAATAATATCGATCTTACATTTGTATACATGTAAAACCTCTGTTTTCCATTTTTATCGAGTAATATATTTGATCATTTCGCCTCAATACTCTTTCATGAATGCCAAAGGATATCTACAAAATCTCTTTCTATCTATCTATCTAAAGTAAAAATTGAGAAAAAAAAATTTGCTACATAATAGTCTCTCATCTATCTAACTGTACCTTACACTATCTCAATGTAACCTATTCTTGACGTACTCTTGTACGTAATAAATTTATGCCAGAAACATAAATATCTCTATATTCTCTCTTCGAGTAACTTGAAATCACTACAGCGATAAAACACATCTTACTTACTGAAAATTAAAAACAAGATACCAACATCTGAAACATCTTGATCTCCTACTATAATTCACAAAGTTTCAAAGTACCATGTACGTGACGAGAGATGAACGATATTCGAAACGGCATTCCTCGAATCATCCGCGCGTCTTTTCTCCATCCAACATTTCTCTCCAATCGCATCGATCACGATCGTACTGTCGACTAGTGACATGGACCACCACCTCGAATCGTATCTCCATTCTAAACCGGTTAACTGGCAAAAACCGATCGTTCTCGTTCAAACAACCGGCGAAGAATCTCCTATTCTTAAGTAATTTTTCGAGAATTCCATCTGAGAAACATCTCCAGTCTCTATGCTCTATGGCGTCAGACAAAATTAGCGGCTAGATAGAGCGAGCGCCGGCTAATTGCAAGCGTCTCGACGTCGCCGATTCTCAATTGCCTCCCATCTCTGTCTTGCCTACTTTTTTCGATTAACTCCTATTGCACCGGCCGTTGCACGCACAAAGAGGGTCAGACACGCGTTTAACTCGCACCGGCTATCTCTCACCCGTGAACGCCACCGTCCCCCTCCATCCTTTCTCTCTCTCTCTCTCTTCTCTTCTTTTTCTTCCTCGCTCTATCTCTGTCCCTCTTTGGTGGAAGAGTAGTTTCACAGAGTTTGAAACGATCGCCTGGAATATCGTCGTTATTGGCACGAAGAGTTTCGCGTTTGCACGCTTGCGTCGGCTTCCCTTTGTTGCCTCGATCGTTCGAATAATTTTCTTTCGTGCTCGTCGAGTTATGGTCTCGTTTCGTAAGATCGATTTTATGCCGGTAATTCAATGGCCGTTTCATGATCACCGAATGGGTATATTTAAAGTTTTTATGGTTTCGGGGGGATGGTTTCTTTTTGGCGTTTGGAAAGTTACTATTACGATTGTAATTAACTCGGCAATTGCGTACTCGGATCTTTCAGATTTGGCATGGTTTCGTATAGTGTAAGAAATTCTGAGAGAAATTTATTGGTGTCTACTTTTGGCCGTCTACTTTTAGATCGTATAATTAGATGTTCGAAACGAAGGTTGTACGAAATGTATTTCATATTTTTAACTATTTTGTCACGAATACGAGATTCTGCCTATTCCTTTGGCTTGTACTCTTAAGATGGATTTTCATGATTTGAGAAGGATGATTCCTGATATTGGAAAAATTCGTGCAGCACTCTTTTTAATTGATTATAATCAATATATGGATAATATATCAATAAATGGATAAAATTTATTTATTAGATTGCAATTTGAAATTTTACATCAATAAAATGACAATTTTATCCTGCTGGTTTTCAATGACGTGATCATTCCGTGACTTCTTTGCATTCTTTTCAGCGATAACTTGCTATATTAAGTCGGCAATTAACATATTTAGATATTCATTCTTCAAAAATTCATCCACTTGCACCATAACTTCGTAATTTTTACATATATCAAATCGTTAATTAATCTATTTCTAATATTGGTATCTACGATTTTATTTTATTCATCCCCAACTCGAAATTTCCAATTTAATTAAATCTTCATCCAAAACGCAAATCTATTATTCTTGACCAACTTCTGAGATTCACTGAAATTCAATCTACCTCGACTTCCATCGTCCATTCGATTTTGATAAATAAAAAAAAGGAAATAACATGAATTACATCACCATTGGATCGGATACGGATAACAATTCCATCTACACCTGTTCTCATCGTTTCCTGTGCCGTGAATTGAGGACATCGAGGAATTTGACTACCGGGTAAAACAATCACGATTGCAAGATCGGCCCTGTGACACGTTTCACCGGATAATTGCCGCGTTAAAAGTGCGAAGAAGCATGATCGCGACATGGAGTATATCAATAAATGGATAAAATTTATTTATTAGATTGCAATTTGAAATTTTACATCAATAAAATGACAATTTTATCCTGCTGGTTTTCAATGACGTGATCATTCCGTGACTTCTTTGCATTCTTTTCAGCGATAACTTGCTATATTAAGTCGGCAATTAACATATTTAGATATTCATTCTTCAAAAATTCATCCACTTGCACCATAACTTCGTAATTTTTACATATATCAAATCGTTAATTAATCTATTTCTAATATTGGTATCTACGATTTTATTTTATTCATCCCCAACTCGAAATTTCCAATTTAATTAAATCTTCATCCAAAACGCAAATCTATTATTCTTGACCAACTTCTGAGATTCACTGAAATTCAATCTACCTCGACTTCCATCGTCCATTCGATTTTGATAAATAAAAAAAAGGAATAACATGAATTACATCACCATTGGATCGGATACGGATAACAATTCCATCTACACCTGTTCTCATCGTTTCCTGTGCCGTGAATTGAGGACATCGAGGAATTTGACTACCGGGTAAAACAATCACGATTGCAAGATCGGCCCTGTGACACGTTTCACCGGATAATTGCCGCGTTAAAAGTGCGAAGAAGCATGATCGCGACATGGAGTAGCCGAGGATCTCGCGTGTACGATCATTCGTCGTCGTCGTCGTTGTCGTCGTCGAATAGCGATTGCACAAGTTAGTCGTGTACGTGGTGCAGAATATGCGTGGCATGCGAGTCGCTTTATTCGTGGCGATACTGGCCACGATCGTCGAAATCTCGAGGGCTGAGTCGACTCGACAGTCCCTCCAGTGCAAAAACATCGCGAGGGACGTGATTATAAATAGCTGCAAAGGACCAAGGATGAAACGATCCCCGGAGAAATCTGACACTGGTAATACGGATCAGATCATAAAGGCGACTATACCAGGTTGGATTTGATTTCTCGTTCTGTTTTTCTATTTTTTACTTTTTTTTCATATTTCTCCGGGTATATTTGAATTTAATTTATTTATACGAATTTATTTAATTGATATAAATATATATACGATAGAATATTCATTGATTTGGTACTTTGTATAGAGAATCTGAAATTCAATTATATACGCGTGTAATTGATGCAGAAATCGGTCTCAGATGAGGAAAAGATATGCTTCTCGTTGCGAAGGGTATAAGATGGAATTTATAAAATTGTTGAATCGAAAAAAGAACCAAACCCGATTCCAAACAAAAATGTTTCTGCCAACCGTGATCGAAGATAACAATGTTAAATGATAAAATTGATTAAATTTTTTGCAAGCGCTAGTGCAGCTCCTCGAATCGAAAGTCAGTAAAGTAAAGAATTAATTTAACTTTCAGATGTGATCAAACCGCTGGATGAAAATCCAGTCAGAATAGAAATGTTCGAGCCTGAAGGAAACTACTACGTACAAGCTAGAATCCCTTTGCATCATTCTCACGGCTATGGACTTGTGCCTCCGAGATTCGGAGGGATAGGACAAAATTATCAATCGACCAATTTCCATCAATCAGAATTTATCGCGCCAGGACTCGAGTTCATGGATACTCAGTATGCTGGAACGTCAGGAGGAATGTACGGTTCGTCTCTACCTATGCGACCAGGATACCTAATAAGATCCGTCGTAAGTTCTTGATAATCAAGTCACGAAAAGAGGGTTTAAATTCTGCACTTCTTCACGTTTCGACATTTATTAATCTTAATTGAAAGGATTATATGAATGAAGAATAATATTAAAATAGTATAAAATAACGAGAGTAGCAATAAAAAAATAAAAAAAGGAAAATGTAAATCGATGCGATGTAAAGTTAAAATTTATTGCGTGCGGCGTAAAGAAGATGTTATTATTAAATTATCGATTTCGTGTGTTATATATTTGAGGATCTGTTGTAATTAAGAACTGCGAGGGAAAGTATAAGCTATTTATAGTTCTGATAAAATGAATAATATTGTCAATGAAAATGAAAGTTAATGTAGCATTATAGCGGTATGAATGCAATAAAATTCTTACTATCTCCATATCCATTTGTGTTACTTATTATTTCGAAAATAATTTTCAATTAAAAAATGTTAAATAAAAAATCTCGAGAAGAATTATATTCTCGAGAAGGAAGGGTAAAATATTCTATATTCAGAATTCGAATTCATTACGAATTCATTGTTTATTATTATTAATCGCTTGTAATTTTCTATGTCAAGGATTGCATTGTAATTCAATCATTAAAATATAATTATAGGCGAGAGCGTAAAATATATATATATATATATAGTATATAATAACAAATTTAAGTGCTAATTAAATTAGTTATGTTAATTGTGTGAAATTAACGAATGAATAAAAATATTTCACAGAAATCGGACGATCTTCTCGGTTTCAATTTAAGCCCAGAAGAACTGGAAGAACTTCACGATGAGATCGGTGACAGAATGCCAAGAAATTCGAAGAATCTTAACAAGAAAATTTTCCAACAGATCGCAATGAAATGCTGCCCGAATGCGAGACTGTGCTACGATAATCCACGAATAATTCCTTGTATGGGATATTAAAGACGATTTTACTGTCAATATTTTGTCATCGAAAAGAAATACAAAGGGTTACTTAAGAGTTATTATTTAAGAAAAACGATACTTAAGGAAATATACTTAAATTCTCAGATGTTTTGTTGAGAATATTTAAAGGAATAAAATATTAGCCATGTTGTTGCGTTTGTCTAGTTTTGCATAAATTACGATCTTTTTTATACGTTTTCCTTTCTTTTTTTTTTTTTTTCTATCTTTCACAATATTCGTTCACCTGAATTTAGATTTAGATTCATCTTAGAGATTTTGTAAAATTCATAAATCTGTTTTATTTATTTAAATATGACACGTTCCTTGTTTCTAAAGACTAAAAGTTGAGATTTTAGATTAGATTAGATCGTTCTCTATTAAAAATCAATAAATTTTTTAAACATTTTGCGATAAATACTTTTTTAAAATTTTACGACGATGTGTGGACTATAACATTATAATAAATTCTCGCGTACAATTACGGAAAATAAGCAAATTTAGATAAAATATAACATAATTACATTTCAGATCCGGTCTCATATCAAAATGTAAATAGCATAAGAAGAGTCATCGATTTTCATTTGGTTTCAAACAGGTTTCATTTGCATTTAATATATGCACGATATATATTTAACAAGTACGAACTGCTACTGAAATACGTATGATTAATCTTTTTAAAATTACATAATCATCTTGAAATTACTGCTTAACCACTAAATGCAAAAGATAACACGCAAGATGATTTTCTCAAGATCTTTCAAATAAAAATGCATTCGTAGGATATTCAAAAATTAAATCAGATTAAAAAAAGAATCATGTTCATGAATCAACATAATGATATATGTTTTTTACATTATTTAATAACTCACGTAATAACGAATACACGATTCTCTCATAATTTTTCCTTCGACTCAACAAAATCTGGTCCGAAAAAAGGAATATATGAAAGTTCGATCGATAAGTAATCGAGACTTGCAACCCTTCCCCTTTCCTCACGAAAAAATATTACTCCGCTGTGATCCCTAAAATTCGTATCGTTATCATAATTCGATCGAAAGGATCGATGGAATCTCGAAGGAAAAAATAATCTCGAGCTAAAGCATACCTTACAAATAATCATTTTATTTACATCAAAATTAATACATTATCGC